GTTCACATTGGACCATGTCAGTACTTGAAGTGACCATACTAGTCATTTCCGCAATCCCCTGCTTTCACATATGAGACAGTGGGTTTGGGCAAAGCCAATTGGCCTGGCTTGTTAGTGGTGGTACTTTTAATTTCTGTAGAAGTGAGCTTTACTTCTACACATTCTTCCACTTTGAGAGTTACAGGGTTTAACACAGACTCATTTTGAAAGATTCACCATGCACTGAAAAATCACCCCCATTGATTATTGTAACAGAGGGAAGTACACCAAAAATTTAAGTGTTTATAGTTATTTTTATTTTCTTGTTTATGCTTTTTATGTACTCTCCTGTCTACTTAATGTACTCCTCATTAATGTACTTTGCCTAATGTGCTTCTACAACGAATATTTATTGCTTTTATAATCAGAAAAAGCAATAAATGCTATTAAAAACAGAATTTATTGTGGAAATGCCAAGATGTGTGATAATATGATTATTGATCAGTTTCATGGCCCCAAGACTGTTGCCAGCAAAGTAATGGCTTGTTATTTCCTTTGCTCCAGGAAAATGACTGTGCATCTATTTTACTGTGCTATTTAGATCTGTTTAGACAGGTCTTTCTCAGGTCTGCACTGCTTTTTTTGATTGAATGGGTTTTTGTCCATCATGGGGCATATAAGTTGCTGGTTCCAGATTTGGGCAGCTTGCCTGCAAGGGATACCGTCTGTTGTAGCAAAACTAGGGGCCTGCCCTGCTGGGCTGGAGCCCACCAACTGTTGCAGCCACAGTGCCTCAGCTGCTGTGCTTTTACACTAACTCTTATTAGCCATGCAGATCTTTATGGTTCAAACCAGGCCACACATCTGTTGTGAGTCCCATGACCTTCAAAACCGCGAGTAGAGAGCAATGCAAAACACACTTTTTATCTCCACGCTTTGTGTAGACTAGTCAGTTTAGAGGGCTTAATTTAAAATTTTTTCTAATCTTATTTTGCAAAATATCTTCATTTTCCTTTCCTTCCATTAGCAGTAGTTGTTGATACGAGCAAAGTAGTGTTGCTCAGAATCTGGTCTGTTGACAACCTGCATCTGATCCCAGGAGTTTGTTTAGAAAATATACTTCAGAGACATGGTAGACCTGGAGAATTGTGTTCTTAGGGGTGTGTTCTTGCCCCAACATTTGAAACCCATGATTTGGGCATTTAAGGCTGTATGTCCAAAGGGACATCCTATTTTTTAAAGGAGTGGGCATGGAGTTAGAAAGCCAACAGCAAGATGGGTGATTATGTGTTGAATTGGGCACCTGCAGGAATGCCTGGACCTCTTAGAAGGTTTGCTTTTGGGTGTAAACATTTGGGAAGGGTCCTAGTCATGTGACCCTGAAAATGTTCATGTTCCTTGCAAGATGAGAAACTACTGTATGCTTCCAGGTTGGACACAATGATTCAGTTGGTTATGTTTTCCAGAAATAGTAATGTCTAAAATGAAATTGTTCTCTTCTCTGTATATGCTGTTATGTCCCCTCAATCTAGTTCCTTCTGAAAAACCGAGTGTCCAGAATGCCAGACACTATGGTATTGTTCCTGTATTCTTCAGAGCCAAGCCATTTGGCCTCCTAGTGCATTTATGAGCCCTATATTCCATTGCTGAAGCACTGTACTGTACGCCTCTATAAAAACACTCTGTCCCCTCCCCACAGAGTTAGATGTCTCTTGAATAAAAGAGCAGAGAAAGAAGTTGAGTTTTCCTAATTTGTGGGAATGGGATAGATAGAAGGAGAAAGAAGGGTTTCACTAAAGTATTCTAGGTTACTTTTTGTCCTTGGGGCAGGAGCTAAAGGGACAAAGAAGCTGACTTTCACAGTGCTTGTGTAAGTCTTCAAAACAACATGTTTCATTTTAGATTGAGGAGATTAATTTTATCTAGTATATCCAAAATATTGTCTTAACATGTAATCAAAGTTAAAATTATTGAGATTTTTTACAATCTTTTTTTTTCCCCCTAAGTATTTGAAATTCTCTGTGTATTGTATTCTCACAACACAGTTTGGGGTAGCCCCCTGTGGCTGGAGGCTCCTGTATTGGACAGTGTAGTTCTAAAGGCGTCTACTAATCCCTAATTCCTAGTTAAAATGTGAACATATGCCTGCATGGAACATTCTTTTTTTCTGTTTTAGAGAAAGTGAATTGTTTTCTCAGCAGTTAGTTGGTGCTAGCGTAATGCCTTCCTGTGTAGGATGTAGTGTTAGAATTCTCTTTGCAAGCCTTGTAATAATTTTCAGGAATTATCACTTTTATTATGGCATTTTTAGTTGCAACTAAAGAATTTTTATGGTGGGAATTCTTTCTGTGTGAAACCTCTTAAAAGAACAATTGAAAATACACTGTGGTTCTCCTGGGATGCACAGTTGGGGCACCTAAGTAACCAGGCGGAGTCCTTAAGACAGTCAAATTAGAATTATCCAGGAGAGTCCTGGTTTAGTGGTCACTCTGTATCAGTGCAAACATGTCCCATGTCAACATTTTATGTTGTGGTTCTTATATTTTTCAAAAAGAAGCTAAATATACACAAGCCATTCCCATGTTGCAGGCACTTTGTATTTCATAAGAATGTCTCTGTGGAGCTTCATTTCCTTTTTTCCCTCTTTTAGAGTGTCTGGGTTTGAATGCCTCTCCAATACACAGTGTAATGTGAATTTGACAAGGAACATCGTCACCATGTTGTGTCTTGGGACATGGGCGTGCCGAGAGGGTTTACACTTAACGTTCTGATGAGGATTAAGTAGGATAATCCAGCACAGTGTCTCTGAGTACATCGCAAGTGCTAAAAAATACTAGCTATCCTTGGCATCTTGAATTATCTTTGTTAATGTTAGAAACTAAAGCAGTATACAGCAGGAATTTAAGGAATGAATGTATTTCTTTGACATTGACATAAGTTTTAAAAGAAAACCTTCTTCCCGAAAAATATCTTCAGAATCTTTGTTTCTGCCATAATATCCTGAGCTCCAAACCCCCGTTCCATCCACTGTTTTGTCCTGGGACTGAGCATTACTTCACTCTGGGTAAAAGAGCATCTTAGTTATGACGACCTCCCTCTCCCACAGTGTGAAGGGAAGTGTCCTAAGCACGTTTCACAGAGTGCCTTTTCTTTTTCTGAAACACTGGCTCCTCAGTCACTGTCAAGTATCACATGTGATTTCAGAAACACCTAAAATCTGAAGCCTTTTTTCTGTCTCATTGTATTAAGTATCAAAGAATGGATTAACGTGAACATGGGCTGGCACAAAAGAAAAACACGAGGTTTCCTCTGGCTTCCATTTCTCTTACCTTTTTATTTAATACTTACTGATTATGCAGAGGTGATATTTAAGAGTAAATGTGTTTAATAAACCTTTGTAAGTAATACTTATGAAGCATTTATTTTTCAAAACCCCCTGAGGATTACTGTAATCTGCAGTTCTGTAGTTTGGATACATGTGTTACACCAATTGTTCCAGAGTCTTTCATGTCGTTCTCATCTGCTATCTAAAAGTCAGGGAACAATACATTTCATTAAGTTTTGCCTGATAGGGAAGCCTCTAAAGGTAGAAAATTTCCTCTCAGTATCATATTTATTACAAAAAAAAGGGGGGCGAACTGCCCTTTGAATAGTTTGATTGACTCCCTCCCTCCCCTAGTTTGATTGTACTGCAGTCATAAAAGGACTTAAATTGAGAGTTGAAAAGTTTCCTTGCAATTGATTTTATTCAGTGCCTTGTAGACAAATAGATATTGAAAAGGAAAAAAAAAGCCATATTGAACTGAAACTTTCAGTTTTGGATTTGAGCTTTTTAAAGTCATAAAACTGCTTATTCATTTGACTCTTCAAATGGGTCCTGCAGTGTAAGTGGTCAGAGCCAGAGGTTTTAGAAAAATCACAACCAAAAAAGAAACAAAACAAAATAAAACAAAATGCTACTTCTTCAGTAGCCATTTTTCATCAGAAAAGGACTTGGTAAAATAGCTCTTTTTCCAAAAAAGGAAAAAAAAATCCTATACAATGACAGAAACTGCTTTTAAGAGGTAGTTGAAGCCAACTTAGAGACAAATACATTAGGCACCATGATGTGATCTGGTGAAAATTTTTATATGGCTTAAATTTTTTAATTAAATTACTTTATTTAAGATTGAAATAACCCCTTTAAGTTACTTTCATTGGGACTTGCATTGTGTTATTTCAACTTAATAAATCCTTTTGAAGGAAAGCAGAATGCAATATATTTTTTCTGATTTCTTTCTGCAATTGAAGAGAACAAAGCAAAACCTCATTCTTGCTGGAAAGGAAGAGAAACTTAACACCTAAAAAAAATGGAGATAATAAAAATGAACATGTAGCCCTGGGATATTCTGACTAGCAACATTAAAATGGTTGCCTGGGTAATGCTACTCAATTTCTTGTGTTATTTTTTTCTTTTAAATCCCAGGGACAAGTCTACATTACTTGACTCAAGGCCTGTTTCTCAGTGTTTCAGGAGGGAGAAATGGTCCTATGGATTTCAAATAATGGAGAGAGAGAGGTATTTGGTAATTTATCTCCTTACCAGCCACAAAGCTTATCTGTCTCTGAATACATTTTTTATGGTTTAGACAATTCTGAACAGTTGCTAGAGATAAACTCTGTCATTGTGCAGGAATGAATTCCTGTAGATTTAATTTATTAATTATCCTTTATTTAGGTCATTTACTGTTCCACTGTTCACATCTAGTTGTGAAAGACAGCATTTGTTTTGTTTTGTTTTAAATCATTTGGGGAGACAGAAGCCAACTTGGGTTTAAAGCCATGTACATGTCCATGTTTAAAAGATGATAAAACTGTTTTTTTAAGAAAAACTACCCACCTAAGCATCCTATGAAATCCATGGTAGAGCCTTCTATACCTCTCTAAGTATACATACAGGCAGGTAAGTTTTTTTCTGGTGTGATATTGAGGGTGTACCTTTATGTACTTTATAGCTCTAAGAGAAAATACACTGATAAGGAGAATTCTTACCTTCTGTCTTTTCCTCATTTTGCTTTTAAGTAGTTGTATCTGGTGTGCCTCTCATTAACTGTTACCTTGTTTTATTGATATGCATAAGCAATTAAATCCTTGATCAATCCAGTGCCAATCCTAAATCAGGTGAAAAAGGACAATGGGGGACTTGTAAAAAATAACAGCAAAATAAAACTAGAAATACTGAGTAGGCTTTTGGCCAACTGATTATAAATATTAGGCTACTGTTTGCTCTCCAAAATTATGCCTCCAGGAGGGCCACCGTCCTGCTCACAGGTGCAAGTACACATTTAATGAATGATTGTCTTAACTCCCTCTGGGGGGCCCTGTGGTGAGCCACTGTTTTCTGCTCCTGTCTGCCTCCCACTAGTCTGTTCCCCACACAGCACAGTCACCTTTTCAAAGCCTGCCTTGATAAAAATGTTCTAAAATCAGATTATGTTGATGGTTGCACAACTCTCTAAATATACTAAAAATCACTGTATTGGTTTGAAAGGAAAGCATATATCAGACATACTGCATGTCCTCTTGGGGTCCTTCATTGTCTTCCAAACTCACTTCAAAGTTCCTAAAAGTCCTGCAGGGTCCTGCCCTTGCTCATCCTCAACCTCCTTCTCTCCCAGCCAGCTCACCAAGCGTGGGCCTGGCAGGCCCACTTAATCCCACACTCTCTCTCTCTCCTGCCTGGACATCCTTATATGTGCTGCTCCCCATCTTGAACTCTATCCTCCTGTCTGCCAATGCCTTAGGCTAAAAGGGTATCTCCTTCCCTGGCTACTCCAAATACATTTCTTCCCTACTTGTATTCTCTATTGGTAGTAACTTGTTTATTTCATGTAATTATCACATTTGTTTCACCAGGAATACAAATTATAATTCATGCATTTACTGACTGGCCCCTGAGTGGTCTGGAAGCCCCAGGAGGGCAGGACCTTTGTGGGGTACGCATTGTCCACTGCCTTGGTGCAGGAGCATTCTGCTTTGGGGAGACCATGAAAAACTTGCCTAAATCTTACCATACTCCCTAGAATTCTCTTTTTTTGCCAGAAGGAGTTAGGGACTTTACTTAAACTGTAAGTGTAGAGGTGGAGTAAATACTTGGCTGACCAAGAACACAGCTCTGGGGAATAGACAGCTACAGGCCACTGAGCAGCTGGCTGGTCAGGACTTAAGTGGTATCTCCACTCTGGCTCTAGAAGTCTCAGGTTTGTGGGTTCACTAAGCCAGTCCGGTCAGTCTGTGCCATGAATGATGTCTTGAGCAAAAGGGTATCATGGTTGGAATCCCCTCTGTATTTCATCCCCAAACCCAAGGCTTAGGCATTATGCCTACAATCTCTTCTCTACCCCCTACTATTGTTGGGTTTTATCTTACTGGGTATTTTTGCCACTGTGAAGCTATGTGCTCACTTCTGGCAAATTTCACTGGGGTTGGTGGGTGCCGCCATGGTTTTGAAATGGGCACCCAACAACATTTATGGAGGGTTTCTTTGTCCATTTCAGTTGTTTTTTTAAAAAGCTTTCTTCATTCAGTATTTCATAGGGATTATGCCTGTGTAAATGACTCAACTATAAATAAGGCCCAAGTTAAACTGATCCTTTATTTCTCAGGGATAAAAGTGCATTAGGGCGTCATGATTACAAATTTTAAACAAACAGTTGTAAGTTAATATTTATTTCTGCCTGAATAGAAATGACTTTCTTTTTTATAGACATAACCAATTGTTCACATCATATTAGAAAAATCACTCTGTTGTATTTTTCTGTTAGTACTATCAGAACATTTTATTTTAGACAGTTGCCAATAGTAGTGGGAAGAATAGCCTAGACAGCTCTTTCTTTTGAAAGTATTATTTTCGAGTTTTCTGAGGTCCAGGTAGAAACCATTTTCCACTTGTGATGTTTATGAACTTTTGAGCAGGTGGAGTAGCTGTTAACTCACACATATTTTATGATTCCTGAAATTCAATTTTGTGAAGAATAGTTGTAGTATAGTGTCCATTTTACAAGTTGAGAGTCATATCTGGTTTGGGGCTGTGTGTCCTTGGGCAAGTTACATACCTTTTCTGAGTAACTGTACCTAAGCCGTAAGATTATTGGAAGAATTACATGAGCCATTGCATTGAAATGCTTTTAGTATTTAATTTAGTATTATTGCCCGTAGGCAATAATTGAATTAGTATATTGTCAGGCCAGGCCTGACAGGTGGAAAGCCCAGATGGCCATAGAGCGTAGAGAAATGATCAGAAGGAGCTGGGGACAGTCATGATTCTATTCTAAAGAGCTAGTCTCTATTCACATAACATATTGTTGCGATTTGTGAAATAAGTCCAAATCTCTTCTTAAAAAGTATACAGGTATTGGGGTTCTCTTCTGGATTTTCCCATGTTGGCAACTAATTAAATACACTGCACACACATGCATACACATACAAGGGGTGAAACAAAACATCTGGCTCAATGGCTGTATTCAGCATGGTGGCCACCGTATGCAAGCTCAGACCTGCATTTGCCAGGTCTGTTGATTAATAAGGATTCAAAGGGGTGACACAATGGTAAAACTGGAAGTACAGATTGGTGGCAATGGGCGTTACCACAACACTATCAATGACAAATCTTCATTTTCCCAGTAATCTTACAGAATCAAGAGACTTGATTCTTTGAGAACCAAACTGTTTTAAGTGGTTTGGAAGAGTTCGTTGATATATTTCTATCTGATGTTATAAAATATCTGAAGCCAGGAGTCCAATTCTTTTCTTAGCAGGGGGTCCCTGTGGAAGATTGAACCATGGTCTTTTTCAGATTTTCATCACAAATGAGCCCCCATATAAATCAGTTTCCTAAGTATACCTTTCTAAGCCTCCCATATAAAACAGTTATCTGTGGAAGTGTGTATTTTTATTTCTGAAGTTTTTAAACTATAGCATAGTTAATAGCAGAGGGACAGATCAAAATTTTTGTCCCTTTACTCTTGTCTGAATAAAAATTAAATTCTGCCTCCTGGAATCCATTATTTCAGAGTAAAATACTTAAGAGCTTCTCCACCTGACTTGTCATTTTTACAAGACTTAGGTTGCGTGTCACTCCACGCCCCTACCCCCCGCCCCCCCGCTGCAATGCTCCACTGCTGTATGATTCCTCTTTCCTTGAATTGCCTCTGAGTTTAGTAATTTATTTTACTTAAAAAGAAGTCATGGCTCTATATTAGGTCCTTTTATCACTATAGATGATGAGAAGAATTCTATTTTTGTAGTTGGGACAATAAGTACATTTGAATATGATAAAATAGGTAATCCACTGTAATATAATTTGAGGTTAGCTCAGTATCACAAACAACTAGAGGGACCATTTGTAAATGCAGTAGTTACAAAGGAACACACTTCTTGATTCTACTTTTGGGACACTTGCTAAGTACATTTTGCTACAATTGAAATACAGACACAAAGGAGATGGGAGGCTGATGGGAATATTTAATTACTTTTACTATAATTTGATACTTTTGCCCATTGTAAGCATAAAAAAGATAAGGATTTATTCATTTTAGACTATTGTGTGGAATTTAATGTTCTTAAATGCTGTTTAAAATTTAGAGAAAATTATGCTTGATAGAGATTTTGCCATCCTTGAAGGATCTTTAATTTGTTTGTTGTATGAGCAGTTATAATAGATATAAACAGTCTGCTTAACTGTTTGTCTGCCATTCTGGAAATACGCATCTGGATTTGAAGATTTAAGTGCCTGTTATTTTTAGTGGACTTACTTTTGGCACTAAGTCTGGCAGAGAACTAGGACTCTTCATAATGAGAGCAATCCATCCATCACTCTAAGTAATTGTCATTCTAGGGCTAGGGAACCAGGATTTCTGTGTTCTGATGTTTTCAGTTTTGGATGGAAACTAACCAGTTCTCCAATTTTAGGTTCCCAGGCTTCTAAATCCTTTGAAATGACATAGAACTGGACACACAGTTAAGTGGAAGTACCCCTAATTATCACTACACTATTTTGCTTTGCATACAGATGTATACCCATGTTGCAGATGCAATTTGGGGCTGTTCTCATCATAGACTTACTGTGGCTTCCTCTCTGCATAACCTCAGCCATAGAGCCACTTTCCCCATAGGAAATCAGGACATAGTTGTGATCAAGTGGACATCGTTGGCTTGATATGGTTAAATAGATTAATAATGTGGAGAAATGCTGTGGTTATTTTGAAATGCTTCGTGACTTCATGTGTTCTTTTCTTGATGGACACTTCAGACTTCCCTTCATTTCTAGATAAGCAAATGCATATATAAATGTACCACCCGGTCAAGAACAGGAAGACATTAGCTGTGTTCTGTAATTTTTTATCTGACGCATTTGCGATTTTGGAAGAAAAATATTTTCTATCAGTGCATAACTACATTAATTTTTACCCCATGTAGATTCAGTGACCATTCTCTCTGACAGTAAAACCTAAGAGAAGACATCTGTGACAGGAACATTATGTAATGGAGTGTTTAGAGGAGCTGGTCTCTTCGTATGAAAAATGTTCGGCCTGCACATCAACACAGAAGAGTTAACACAGCCGGAGACTCTTTTTCTCCCCCACGTCAAAATTTCTCAGCAGCACAGAGACTGAGGATTACACAGAATCCTCCTGAAGATGGAGTTAAGGCAGATGGGATACGCATCTGCTTTTATATTCCCAGAATAAAAACATTTATAATCATAAACTATGTCCGGTGGCTTTGGGAAATAAAATCATGCGCACAGGAAACAGTTTCGGTGATATCTTTAGTAGGTAATTCTTAGAATATTTTTGTAGGAGAGGATTGGGCCTTTGGGTCTGGAAACATTTTTATCTTTTTTGCTTCAGGCTGGAAATGAGGTAGGCTCAGTAGAAGTTCTGAGAGGTGATAGAGTTTATAAAAATTCCCTAATGAAAATACCTGTCACTCATTTAGTCTCTGCATAGCAACCAACCTGACTTTAAGATTCCTCCTGCTGAGTGAGACGTCAGCATCACTGGTTAGTTAATGCTGTTGGTTTTGAAATCTCCACTTTCATCTTGTCAAAATTGAGAGACTCAGATTCTCCTGGATGATGAGTATAGTGGGTTTTTCTTTTCTAAACTCATTTCTTTATTACACTATCTAGACCCTTGAAGGTTGCCCAAATTTGATTCTTTATGCCCAGGTTTTTTAGCCCAGTGTGTGGATGTGTGTGGCTTGCACTAGAGCTGACCTGTTTGAGGTGTTTACAGCATTGTACACAACTGGGTGTCCTTTATAACTTCAACACTTTTTACATCACTGGGATTCCAATTCCTTGAAGCATTGTAACACCATTAAAAGCCCTCCTGAGCTTTCTGCTGACAAACGACTTCAGCTCCATTAACCATAGTGGGCTCGGTGCTGTAGAACTTGGTAGAATATATGTTTGCATAACAACTCCTCCCTCTTATTAGTCACACCATAACCATAGGCAGATTTATACTTACTGTCTATTCTGAAGAGTGAAACTACATATTTTCATAAGCATGCTCCATTTTTAATTGTGTAATTAAGTTGCTGACATAAGCAAGTATGCAATTTCACATTAAGGTAAGGACCCGTAAAGGCATGCATTTGCATAATTTAATTTTCTGCAGAAGATATTGAAAATCAATAACATGATTCATAGCCTTACCATTATCATTGCCATGCTGCCACTGGTTGGCGTTTTGAGTTTAGGAGAGCATAAAGAGTATTACAATTGATTGAATTTGGTGTGTTGAGTGTGTCTTTCGTTGGGGGCCACATACTGTTTCTTTTTGCAAATCTTTGCTCCTTGCCAATATAATATTAAGTTGCTTAATATACTGGATATACATTTTTTTTTACTGCTGTTCAAGTAATTTTTTAAAGCTATTAAAAAACATGTCATATGATTAAAATGCATTTGAGGAAGGGACTTAAAATTTGTTTTAAATTATGTAAGTGCTAGTAGTATATGATTATATTCTTATCAGGAAAAAAGAAATCACACGTTACTGACATAGACAGAATAAAGAGGACAACTAAATAGAGTCATCTTTAATGAATAGTTTGTGTGTTAAAAAGAAGTCTGGTGCCAGAGTGAAAACATCCTTTGCTACCCTGTTCATTTCTGAGTTACCTCCTTAAAGAATTGCTTACCAGGTTCTCAGGATTGTTTCTTCCATTTTCATGGTTTAGATGTTTGCTGTTTCTGGCAGGTGGGCAGTAACTAGAAAGCAAGACAATACAGGGGAAGGAGGGGTTTGCTTGTTTGTTATGTTAACACACATGCATACATACACAGATGGACAAACACTTGTGACACAGACAACATCAGCCTTTCTTTTATTCATATATTCATGCATTCATTCATTATTGAACACATTCCATATGTCAAACTCCATTGTGGGTGGTAGGTGGAGAGCCTCTTATCTGTAGAGAGCTTAGAGCCCTTGATAAACCATGCAGCATGTCCTTAGAAGCAGGTTCCCCTGCCCATTCCTACCTTGCTGTGAATAAACCACACAGTACAATGCTTTGGGGAATGTGAGGAGGACAGGGTTCACCCACCTTCCTTGGGATGGCCATTCCCCATCTGTTACTTCTTGTCAGTTGGTCTGTATACAGTAAAACTGCACCTTTTACTTTTGTCCTAAGTCAGCTCCTTTTAGATAGGCAGTTCTGACACACAGCTCAGATTCTTACACTACAGTGGGCTGTGTAGGGCTGGCTGGGAAGTTTATCTACTCTCTGGAGTATGGTTTCCATTACTTACAGTGTCGCGGAGGGCCTTCTGATGTGTACCTCCCTTGTTTCTTGAATTGGATATATCTCTGCAGATTTTCTTTTTCCACTAATAGTGTAGTGAGCTTGGGAGCTAGCAGGTGTGGGATCCCAAAACCTATGGGCTCTATCCAGTCTTGTTAAAGACTGATTTACAGGAATTACAGTCTGCTTGTAAGTACTTCGGAGTTGTCATGCTTACCTGATGAACTCTGGACTCTTGTCTTGCTGTTCTAGCAGGATGGGTAATACAGCTGCCAGCACGAAGCCACTCCAACATAGATGCCGCTGGTAGCCTTTGTCCTTCTTTGCCCCACCCAGATACTCTTAAAGGTTCTGGGAAATGAAAAGCAACCTCTTTTCAGGAAAAAAAGGGGAACTGGCAGTGGAGATTGTGATTCTAAGAAACGTCTTGTGTAAAAGGTATAAATTAGTATCCCTGAGGATAACCCCATTCTTTATATTTGTAGCTGGTTCATTTGTTTGTGAGCTTTCTGGCTAGAACTCTGGTTCAGTTCAGATTTGTCTGTCTCAGTTCTGAGGTTGGCGCCACACTGGTATGATTTCAGCAGCAGGCTGTTCATTTCAGCCTGGCCAGCTCTTTACTGATGTTAAGATTTAGCTTGTCAGGTTGCAGGCTGTGAGGGTGAGAGTTGAGGAGGTCAGCGTGGAACACCTCAGCTGTAGCTCGGCAAGGAAGTCTGTGGTTCTTATCTCTGGCTTCACAATAGAATCATCTGTACTTTTTTAAAGTACTGATTTCTTGTTCCCACCCCAGACCAATTAAATGTGAATCTCTGGAGGTAGGGTCTTAAGCATGGGGTGTTCTGTTTTTAAAGCAGCCAGGGCTTAGAGCCAGAGCTCTAGTCAAACAACTGCCTTTTATGCATTGAGAAATTGACGATCAGGTGTTCAGGTGACTCTGAAGGTCACCAAGAACACTTTTAGTATCATTTAGGGATCTTTTGCATGTAAGAGACAGAAAAGTGAGCTTTGGCAAATAATTGGTTCGTGTAAATATAAAGCCTCTCATGGGGTTGGTTTTCAATTGGCTTTGTCCTAGGCTTAAATTTCGTCAACAGAATTGATCCATAGATTTTGCTTCCTCTGACTTGGCTGCCTTTTTAACTCCTTTGGTTCATGTCATAGCACCTTCAGGAAGAAAGAGGAATCTCTTTGATTGTCTGATTTCCCAGGGTCAGGGGAAGAAGGACGTCTGATCCATGACTTGGGGCTAGAGGGAGTACAGTATAGTGATAACAGAAATGGGGTCTCTGCACCAGTTTGCCACTATGTTGTCAGGCATTTTAAAAGCACTACGTATATGCCTAGTGCTGAGTGAGGAGGGGCTCTGCTCACAGTAACTTGTATTGTCTTCATAACAATGTCAAGGTTGGTATTTTTAATTTTACAGACCAGGAAACTGAGGCTTAACCACGTACCCTAATGGGAGCCACATTCCTATGGTTAAGATACTGTTTTTTACTCATTGTCTAGATACAAAGAAGGATTATTTGGGAATAATTAGAGTTCACTAGCTCTGAGAAGCATAGTAAACAGATACGTAAAAAAAGGTCCCCCAGAAGCATAGAAAATACGTAAACCAACGGATTATTTATTTAGTGCACTTCAGTGGAAGGAAACAATTGATTAGTGAAACTGAAAGTGAAAAACAGAATGGTTGAAAGTCTTTGGTTATCCACCCTCGGGATCTCGTGCGCTCGCTGCCCTGCCCAACATCACGAAGAGAGTCTCGCTCTGTACCAAATCCGCCAGCCAGAAAACGACCAAAGTCAAATTTCGAACTCCGATTTCGACAGGAAATGTACTTTCGCACCGTAAGTCAAACCATAGTAAGCCAGGGGCTGTGTATACTTTATGTGTTTTCTAATTTTTCTTCATGAAGAAAGCTAATGCTGTCATGGTGAGATTGTTATTATTACTTCGATTAATTTGGAATAGAGAATGTGTTATGTTTTCCTGGTGCTGTGAATATACAGTTCCCCTAACCGTTTTCTTTGCTTTTCAAAAGGATACTTGATTTTGTTTGGGTGCATTGAAATATTAACATAGACAGCTGGGATGTATGGTTTGAAGTGTAATTTCATTTCATCTTGGATTCTGGGCACCTGTGATATTTGTCATAGACGTCAGTACATTCAGGTGTGGGCTCACAACAAAAGAAATTCACGTCCATGGATTTTGCTGGGAGGGGAATGCTTTGCACATTATATAGCAGGCAGAGGGAGGCTCTCCATAACGGGTAGAAAATCGGATTCATTTGAGTTTTCAAAGAATACATCATTTAACAGTGTTTCTTTTCTATCGTTGGCCTTAAAGGGTTTCAGTTTTCTTATTCTCAGGTGTAACAGGTGACTCTTTGGGGTCTAAAGGATGTAGAGGACTGGTATTGGCACCTGGGAGTCTCCCAGGCCTGGGCCTGTCCTGTTTGGATGGCAGAGGCCCTGGCTTGGCTGCAAGCATGCCTGTGAAGGTTCTCTGATCTGCTGCTGTTTACCTGTGTGCCAGGGACCAGTTAGTTAGTGTCTCCAAACCTTAGTTCCTCCATCTGTACAAGAGATGGAATGACTCCGTGTTCTATGATGATCAAATAAGGTTAGAAGCCTTTGCATCTAGGATGTAAGTTTACACATGCAGTTGGAACCAAAACCTCAGGTTCCAGGTCTGCTAGTTATATAATCTTTGGCAAGTTAAAGTTGTTTAACTTCCCTAAGCTTCAGTTTGCTTATCTGTAGAATGTTACCATTATCTGGACCGTTGTATCTACTGCATGGTGGTGTTTTGCAAATTACGTAAAATAATGTCTGTAATGTGCTTACTGCACCACACTTCATGGCACAAAATAAAGGCTCGGTGTAAGTGTAATTTAATATTAATAGTAGTTACAGTAATCTCGCTAGGTTCTTCGCAGGTAGTTTTTCTGTAAAATCAGGAGGTTTTTTTCAGTTATCCCCAAAGTCTGTACTTCTAGGAAGTCACCCTTTCTGTGTCCAGTGGGGTGATGACTTTGGCTTATGGTAGTTTTCTCTCTCTTCCAGTGTTGACGGAAGGCTACGTTGGGGCCCTGCACGAGAACAGACACGGCAGCTCCGCACAGATCCGCAGGCGCAAGGCCTCCGGCGATCTGTACTGGGCCTACTCAGGTAAGTTTCCTTGCTGGGAGCAGGACCATACAGACCAGTTAACACTCCATTAAACTCACTGGAAAGCATGCTTTTAATCACTTTCACACCCGACTTATGTTTGCTCAAACCTTATGTAGTTTGCTGAGAGTTGAAATACCCAAGCCTGTTTTTCTCAAGGTTTTAACTACCTTAAGTTATCTTTCCCACCTGTTTTCTCAACCTGCTTTTTCTTCTCAATTTGCGATTATTTCAGAACTGGACGTGTTAATGAGTTATTGTACCAAACTTGTAATTTCCCCAAAGACATAGCCTTTTCTTTTCCGTCTTTTTAGTGGCTGTGATTTCAGAGAGCAGAAAATACAAGGCTAGTCTTGTGCTGCAAATGTCTGCTAAATATTACAAAGCATCACATACCAAAATGATGTATTATATTTTAATCTAGGAGATGCAACTTTATTTCCAAGTCACATCTTGTTAGTTGAATATATTCAGCCCTCTCTGGTATTCTGCAGTGCTTTCCATTTTTGTTTTTATGTTTAGCCTCCTAGCAGTGAGGAGAGAGAACAGTGTTATAACTACATTAGATACTACTTTGCAAATAATTTTCTTACATTTTAAGGGGGGGGAAAATGAAGACCTACAAGATATACAGACCTTTCTGTATTATGCTTCCACTTCCAACAACTAACAAAAATATATTTCTAAGAGAGATTTTGATGCTCTAAAATATATGGGAAATGTATTGTAGCTAATTAAGGAGGAATGCTTGAGAAAGATAGACCACTTTGGAAATTACTTTGGCACTGAATAATTCAAATTCTCTGAATGAAAGGGCTTGGAGGCATGGAGTATTAGTCTTACTAACATATCTATGTGTTATGCAATATTGTTGCATGTAGAACTGAAAGGTATTTTCATATTGATGCTGTGATTTTCAATCCTGAATTTCTACCTGCAAATCCTGTTAAATTTATGTCAGTGTAAAATTTATAGGTTTGTTCTTTAATTACACCTTATCTATTGGCTTTTTGCATCCTTTTGTCTATTGATAAATCTCCTGCGCCTACAGGGAGAATAGCCTATCTGTTTTGTTTTGCAAGGAAAAGATAGTGATTCTGAAGTCTTCCATCACATCCAGTTTCTTGTGATTAGAATTATTAGAGCCTTTTTGTCACCATTTCTGAGAAATGAAGGGAATTGGGAAATGAAGGCCAAACTTACATATATATATATATATCTTGATGCCTAGAAATCCAAAGAAAATTTATCATTTGTATTCTTGTAGCTCCAATATCAGGAAGAGACATAAAGTTCCCTGCTATTTACAGTTCATCAATTTAGAATAATAATAATGCTATTAGTCAGGAAACTGCAAGTTATATCCCATCAGCATCTCCAATTGCAAATGGTAGTGAAGGAGTGAAAGGCCTAAAACATTTCCCATTACTCAGTTCAGAATGGACGTAAGTGGTGCAATCTTTGGAATGGAGCAGTTGTTGATATCCTTAAGTCTGGTGGGCTTAATGAGTCTCCATTTTGTATTTCTGGAGTGGATTGTGTCTGGATTTGGTAACTGCCTGTATTAGTGGAAGGGCTAAAAGTTCAGTTTCAGAGGTTAGCACATTTCTACTGTAAAGATCCAAGTAATAGGTATTTTAGGTTTTGTGGGGTGGTATATGGTCTCTGTTGCAGCTACTTAACTCTGCTATTGTTGTACAAAAGCAGTGATCAGTTGATAATTCTGGACAGACTGTTCTGATAAAAATTTATTTATGAACACTGAAATTTGAATTTTGTATAATTTTCACATATCAAGAAATGTTATACTTTTGATATTTTTTGAGATTGCTTTTTAAATGGTTGCATTAAAAAATATAGAAACTATTCTTACTATGCAAGCCATGCTAAAATAGGTAGCCGGTTAGTTGGAAATGG